TGAGCACTTAACTTTGGTTCCTTCACAACATTCAACAATGAAGACCAAGAAAAGAGTAGGAATGGTAAGTACCCTTCCCTAACTTCCTGACTTCATTTTTCAGTAAGGAAACAGATTTATTTACTAGCAAAATTTACTGATAACCAAAAATATTATCTAATTCAAATTTTGTACAAGGACACATTATCTTTAGTTAAGATGCTATAATAATATATCAATATATTTAATAATTCAATATAAGACACTGAGAAAAAATGAATAGCATATCACTGCAACCTAGTCTACAGGTGAGGATATTTATATCCAGAAATACAGATAAAACCCCACAAACTTCAGGAATCTGAAGTTCTCTATTCTTTTAGTGTGAATCATCACAATCACTATTATAATATACAAATATATCTCAAATAGATATTTTAGCTTTAGCTCCATATCAGTACTATGCATATATATATATATATACACATCTTCCAAATTTTTAATTTTACCATCTCACAACTCCACTATTCATAGCATGACTACAAGGTGAAAAGAGAACCACTCCATCATTATGGAAAATTTACAAAGCATAATCCAGTCACACATAATCAGAGGTGGGTGAGCAATTATTTACTAATATAAGTCTATTATTGAAACTAACTTAAAATTTTTATAAAGCAAATTTCTTTTGCATTCAACAGGCAAAAGGGAGGTAGTCAAATTAAAATACTATTAAATATATGCAATACAAAGACACCTCAAAAACTTAAAAACTGTATTACCTAATTATCCATTCTGTTGATTAGCTCTAAGCTACATTTCTTCTTCCCTGAATTTTAAATGTTCCTTTTACATAGTTTTATATATGCTACTGATATTTTAATTATTCTGAAATAAAACTAATACAGGCACATTATTTAAAAAAAAGAAAAAGAAAAAGAAAATCAAAGCATTGTATATAAAAAGGAGTAAAGAGCAAGACTTCGTTTCCAGCACTCTTCCAACATGCACCTCATGAAAAAAGTTAACAATTACACTCATTTTACGTCTACATTTGGGTGTGTTTTTGCTTTTTTATTTACCAAATTGGCTCATTTTAAATGTACTATTTTGTATATAATTCTACATCAAAATGCAGAAATATACCTTATTTATTTAGAGCTAGGTAAGGTAAGTGAAGCACCAAGGACACATGTGAAGAGGCATTGAATTTTATGCAGGAACCCTGCAATTGTGCAAGTTCCTTCTTAAAATTTTGTGTTAACGTTACACTAGTATCAGGTGCCAAAGGGTTATTTAGTAGTCTAAAATAAGGGTCTATAATAATTCACTAATTATTTCAAAATAGATTAACAGAAGGTGGGCTCTAGTGACTCATAAAGTTATCCTAGTTGTGCCTCAAGTTCCAAAAAACTATCAAACATTAATATCTGCTTCATAGGACTGCTGCAAGGATTAAGTGAGCTAGCACATGCAAAATAATTAGAGGGTTAAGACTCTATAAATGCTATTACTACTACTACTATTATTGTTACTATTACTACCATTTTAATGTATACCCCCACTTTTTCTTATTAAAATAATGCTATAATAAATATTTTATATACATAAAAATATCCAAAAGGTAAATTTTTGGTAGAAAAATTGATACACACAAGATAATAGGCATTTATTATTTCTTTGCATTTATTAAAGAACATATACAATAATATCTGTTTCATGATTTAAAAAAATACTCCAACACAATTCAATAAAGAAAGAATAGTTATTTCAATAAATGTGCTGGCATTATTAGATATCCATATGAAAAAAAATAAATTTAATCACTACTTCATACCATAAGCAAAAATGTACAAAGCAGGTAACAGTCCTAAATGCAAAAGGTAAATGTTTCTGGGGTTGGACAATGGCAAATAGAGGAGAGAGACAGAGAATATATTCATGACCGTGGAAAAAAACTATTTAACAGAAAGCGCATACCCAAAAAAAAAATAATAATAACAATAATAAATTAGATTTCAAATGACATCAAGGAGTAGGGATATCACACACTAAGAAAACACATCAGCAATACATATCTAAGAATATCCAGAATATTTTCCTACAATAATCTTAAAATGGGAAAGATATGAATGGCCACTTCACAAGAGTATATCCAAATGGTTAGTAAAACTTTGAAAACATTTAACTCAGTACTCATCAGAAAAATAAAGTTAAGATGAAAACACTACACACCCAACCAAAAGGGCTAAAATTAAGACAACTGACAATGCAAAGGGTTGGTGAAGGTATTGGGTATAGACGAACTGTATTGCTCATACTCTTCTAGGAAGGATGGAAACTACTCAGTATTTGATAGGATGGACAGAATGATTATATCCAGGAATTTTCTCACCTTCTTTGGATCCAGATTCCCAAAAACTGAATTGGCATGGGGACAAACTTCAGACAGTGAGCAACCAATCTTCACAATATCCTTGTTTCTACAGATATTCTAGAAGGAAGAACGTATATAAGATTCAGTAAAATATTATTTAACAATTATATAATTAAGGATTTTACTTAAGCATAGTACTTAAGAGTTTAGAGCATTAGAAAATGAATCAAGGGCCTCCCTGGTGGTTCAAGGGGTTACGTCTCAGCACTATGAAGCTATCAGCAGACATGGCAGCATAAGTTCTACCCCTGGCCAGGGAGCTGACCCTCATGGCACAGCAAACCTTTCCTATCTCACCCACTGCTCCCCTTAGTAGTGTGTTTCAGTGGAACTGCCTATTCTGCTTCCCACTCTGTCTCTGGTTAATTCTCTCACTCCCTTCCACCTCTGGCCTACACCCCAGCTCTTATATGCATAAATAAATAAATCTTTTTAAAAAATGATTTCTTTAAAATATAAAAGGGACTAGGCTATAGAAATTTTTGTATTTCCTAGTGACTTAAAGTTGTTATTGAAATAAAGGTATCAAATAATATTAAATTATATAGAGGCAATTTTCAACAATTATCTCTAGGTTTTACTTTAAAGCAAATTTTAATTATTCAGAATGAACAGCATATTTTGGCCAAATTATATGAATTTTCTCACATACTTCTTATTATCTACAGAAAACAAGTGTAAAAATACATGCAAAATGTATATATACCTCTGTACACAAATACTATAATCTAGCTAGTAAATTCCTTTCTCACAGGTACATGGGTTAACTATTTAAAAAACTATTTTAGGTGTAATCTAGAATCAAAAATAATATTAAAGATAACGAGAACACAGAGAATGAAATTAAAAATAAGGGCAGGCAAGCTAGAATAAACCTACAACAGCAAACTAAAATTGGAAGATACAAGTTCAATTCCATATCACTGAAATAAAGTTAACAGCACAATAAAGCAGGTATGCTGTCTCAACATGAATTCATGGTATATATACATGTTTGTTTTGTACATATGCACATATGAAAGCATCAAACTTTAGTATCTTCTTCCACAGGCTGCTGCAAAGATTAAGTGAGTTAGTACATGCAGAGTACTGAGAAGGCTAAGACTGAATAAATGCAATTATTATTACCACTACCATTACTATTATTGCTATTATTACTACTACTACTATTTTTATATCCTTACTTTGCCTATTAAAGCAAAGTTAATACATTTATTAAATACATTTAATACATTTATTAAAATGTATTCATCAAAACTGATTTCACCCATTTCTTACTTTTTTTATGTAGTAGCTGAATTTTACATTGCTTACGTGGCTCACATACTTCTACTGGACAAGAAAATTTTATTTAAGCTAGCGATGTTCCCACATAATGAAATAATTTATCATTCAACTTGCGACACTGTTGAGAGTGACACAAGTACTATTAATACAAGACAACAGGCATACAAACAGAACATGCAAGCAACCTTTAAAAAATATATTAATAAGACACAAATTTGCCACAAGTTTTCTGTGACTATCACCATTCTACAACCTTTTCTATAAAAGTTTAAGTATGTTGGGTTGATCACACTTTTCTATACCTTTTTTCTCATAAGTTCTATTTTCCACATTGGCAATTCACTCTACCACCACCCCCCAAAAAAAGGATTTCCCAGGCAATAGGAAGTGTAGAGAAATGATATTCCCTTCTCTTCCATATCACATGAGAGTTATTTAATAGCAGGATATATAATTGTGTGTGTTAGAGAGATTTCATTTCACCTTCTAAATTCTGGAAGATAAACACCTGGGTAGTTTGTTCTGTATTTAAAACTCAGTAAACTTATCTAGCTCTAATCCTGCCCAAAAAAAATTAGAAATGGGCCCTCCCTGGTGGCGCAGCAGGTTAAAGCACTGCACTAAGAAGCTTAAGCCACTTCCTCATGAGTTGGATCTCCGACTGCCCCAAGGAGATCCACATGGCGAGGCAGACCTTTCCTGACCAGCCTGCTGCTCCCCTCAGCAGTGTTCTGCTCCCCGCTCTGTCTCTGGTGAATCCTCTCACCCTCTGCACCTCTGGCCTGTAGCCCAGCTCTATATGAATAAATAAATCTTTTTTAAAAAGTTAGAAACGGCCTATTAGTGCTTTCAATCTTAAACAATAACTTCATTTCAACATCATGCCATTAGAAAAAATATTACAAACTTAACATCTTTCAGGAAACATTATCATAAAAGACCCCTAGGTGGAGCTATAACTTCACAAACACAACAGTCTCAGAAACCAGTAATTTTCATGCAGTTTACTGTTGCTGGTGAAGAATAATTCTGAAACCATAGTCACAATCTTGTTTTTTTCCCTTTATTATAACACCATGCATTATAAGCCTACATCTCATAACTCACGTAAAGCAACAGCTTTTACTAATCCTTGCATTAAATAATGTTCAGTAAGAATTAGGCATTGAAATGAATATAAATATCCCTCAGTTTTTGTGTTTGGTTATAGGGGAAAACCTATTTTAATGGAGGAAAAGGTAGGAGGGGAAAGTAAATCAACGAGGTTGCCATTTACCTGGGCCCAAAATGTTACTGCATCTTCTACATGACTTCCAACCACATCTTCAACTAAAATCAAATCACAATGCAAAAAAAAAAAAAATTAGAAGTTAATCAAGATCATCTATCACCTTCATTCAAAAATAAATTTTAATGTAAGTACCTGTATTGTACTGTGTCTCTTCATCCATTTGGGCAATTTCTGGAAAACTAAAACAATTTAAAACTTTGAATTAGGAATCTAATAATCTGTTGAGTAACACTGAATAAAGAAAATACTATTTATATATCATTCAAATTTCTACAAGTATGTTTGTTGTTAGTAAACATAAACCAATACTAAAAATTACCTCAAATTATTTCAATAACTCTGTTTCACATATACCATTTTTTGCAATTCTATCGTACACAATATGTATCTTTGAAATTACCTCTTTGGCCAGACTTTTTTAAAGAGTTATACCGCAGTGAGAAATTCATGCACACTTTGATCACACATAAATACTTTAAAATGAGTATTTCAAAAATAATTGATGTCTTCCCAAAATAAGAACTTCTACAGTTTAAACAAAAAAAGAAACATTACAATTATAGAACAAATGTTTCAGACTGGTAATTTTACTTAAAAGCCCATAGTTTTTAAATGCCACAACTTAATATTTAGCCTTCCCTCTTTAAAGAAAACCAAATTTTTGTATTTTAAGAACTTTGAAAGCTATCAAAGAACATCACTATGTCAAAATTTCAAATGCTCTTTTAACTAGGGAAAAAGTTTTTAATCTCACTGTCAGAGGGGGAAAAGGTCATAAATTTTTCTAACTTGACTTATTTATTAGCTTATAAAGTTTTTTCAAACGTCTTCCTCCAATACATTTTCCAAGTATTTTTTAACTGAGCAAAAAGTTGTACAATCAAATGAGAATGCATCTAGGTAGGCTCTAGTTTCTCTGGAAAAATCCCCACCACACACTCTAAGAAGCTACTTCTAGGGCCCTCCCTGGTGGCTCAATGGGTTAAAGCACAGCAGTATGAAGCCAGCAGCCACTACACCATGAGTTCGATGCCCAGACAAGGAGGTGACCCACATGGCACAGCAGGCCGTTCCTGACCTGCTCACTGCTTCCCTCAGCAATGTATTTTGTAGATCTTCCTTTTCTGCTCCCCGCTGTCTCTGGTGAATCTTCTGACCACCACCACACCCCCCCCCCCGCACCTCAGGTCTGTACCCCACTCCTGTATGCATAAATAACAAAATCTTTTTTAAAAATTAAAAAGCTACTTCTAGAACAGTTGGCCTTAAAATTTTCTATTAAAACCGTCAAAACGAGTTTCTACCGATATTTACAAAGAAATTGAAACTGCACTCACTTTTCTGCAAACCTAAATTACCAAACGGCAGTTCCAGACCTTTCTATTCACGAAGAGAATGTGAAATGAATTTATGAGGGATTTTCACGCTTTAAGCGGCCCAGAACAGCCAGCGTCGTGACCCCTCTTCACAAAGAACACTAGTTCCAAACTATCTGTAGGAAGGCTTCACCTCTTGGCTACACGTTCAGAAACTGGGGTGTCCATCACCCTCAGAAATCGGCAGGTGGCTCGAAGCGAAGCAGGCCAGGAAACAGGCCTCAATCCCTTCTAGGAAACCTAAACCGCAACCAGGAAGAGCCAAAATGGTCCCTGAGAGGGCCGCCAAAGCACTTAATTAAAAGGACTGCTACTGACCTCGCACTTTCTGTCACAGAAGCTCTAAAACAGGGTTCCTGGCCCCACATGCTGGACCTTCCACCCTCTGCCCACGACGCCGCCGGTCCTCGGCCCACTGCGCACGCGTGTGGAAACCTACCTCACGCGCCACGGCCGCTGGCGCTTCACACTGCGGCTGCGCGCCCAGTGTTGCAGCATAGCCTGAGTTTGGTGGGAGTTACCGCCTGGCTCACGAGGCCCACAGGCCTAGCGCCTAACTTGGGCGCTCGGAGCTGGCCCCGGCGCCAAGACCACTGCACGGAGACTGCGCAGGCGTGTGCAGGGACTTATGGGCAGGGATTTCCCCCACCCTGCCCCCCACCCTGCACCTGAGGGCCGATTGTGGGTTTTGTTTTTTAAAGCAGGGCTTCCGTAACAACGTGATTGGCCTGGATGGCCTGGTCTTTCCCAACTTGCTGGCACTGCTTTGAATCTTAAAAGCACCACAATAGAAGATTCAGAACATTCTTTTTACGAGATGAAAAGGAAAAGTTATTTTAGTAAATTAAAATAGTTTTCAGACCAATAGTTTTACAAGCCATTCTCAGCCCCTTATATCTAAACTTTCTTGGATAGAAGCTTTTTCAGAACGTGAAGAGTTTTCCCAAATCTTAACAAAGTAAACATCTTATTTCTTACTGCATGTGAGATTCCGCTTTCTGGCACCATACATTCATTTCTAGAATTTGATATTAAGGGAATCATCCAGTATGTATGTTTCTGAACGGCTCCTATCCTTCAGCATAATTATTCTAAGATTCATCCACTTTTATTGTGAATCAACCGTGTGTTGTTTTTTATTGTGGAATGCTATTCTTTTGCATGGATGTAGTTTATCATTTGGCTTGTTTCCATTGTGGGGTTGTTTCAAATAAAGCTGCTCTGAATAATCATGTGTAAGTGTACATGGGCCTATGCTTTCATCTCTATGAATATAATACCTGGGAGAATGGTTGGGTCCTCTACTTGTGTTTAATTTTTTAAGAAACTGCCATATTATTTTTACTTGTTAGTTTTACTGTTTTATATTCTCACCAGCAGTTAAGAATTCCCACTTTCTATGGTCAGTACTTTTAAAATGAGACTTTTGTGTGTAGTGGTATATCCTAGTGGTTTTAATTTGCATTTCTATTGACTAAAAATTCTGAGCATCTTTTCATGCTTGTTTGCTATCTATATATTTTGGGTGAAGGATCCATTCAAACTTTTTCCTCGTTTGCTTAGTTTTTTGCCTGTTTTTGTTTTTGTTTTGTTTTTTAGCTGATTTGTTTTCTCATGAAGTTTTGAGAGTTCTTTAAACACTTTAGACACACCACCTTCAGATTTGCAAATATTTTCTTCCAGTTTGTAACTTTTCA